TATATATATATATATATATATATATATATATATATATATATATATATATATATATATATATATATATATATATATATATATATATATATATTGCAGCACAATATAACAAATCAAGGTAGAGTGCTGTAAAGAGTTATATGCTCGGACCCCACGACTGACGTCGACTTGGCTTTTGGGCAACTTACTACTGCCTGTAGCTGGTGTCACCGGGGGCTTTGACTTCAATTATTGAATGTCATAGTTATCAAGTTTGGCACTATATTACATCGGATGGTCATCAGGCTTAACATAAAATATGGACAATGCATCATAAACGCATGGAATCCTCAAGGAAGTTGGGGATGTGTGAAACAACTCATCCCCTAAATGAAGGCCAGCACCTCCAGCTTTCTTTACTTCCTCTTCTCAGCACCAAGAGAGAGGAGATCTAAGCTACGAAGTAGAGATTCATTACGGGTTCCTCTGACAACCGCAGCTCGGGACATGGATGAGGACCTAGAATCTACCACAGGCTGCTGAATCCTTTGACCACTCAATGGCCGGCTGCTGCTTGAAAATATTCTACTTGTTCTGCTATTTTGTGGCTCACTAGGTTCGGTGGAACCCGGTCTGAAGCTCGACAAGACAGCCATCTTTGATGTACTCCCATGGCGATACATTGGCCGGGTTTTTTCTGAGTCAACCTAAGATTACAAACAAACACACTTTCTTATAGCACCAATGCAACATCTGATGATACAACTACCAAGGACTTACAGCATCTTTGGATGACATAAGGGCATCGTCTAAAGTTTTGTGCTTGGAATGATCACAATGATGAGCAGAACCTGAAGCATTCCTTCTAGCAAATGCCTCAACTGCACCTGAGAATCTTTCGCGAAGCTCTAGCACCACCGATAAAGGTCACAACCAAATCAGCAGGACAAACTTTATTTTATGTTTACATCTACTCTTCAGAAAAGAAGCAAACCTGAAGTTCTTTCTCCCCGATCAAACGATGGACCAATAGCTCCATTCGTCCTATCGCTTGATTGCTGCAAGAAAATACAATATTTCAAAACAAACAAACAAGAAATAAAGGTGACAAAAAAATCCATAGCAACACAATAACTTCAAAATGCATACCCGTATTCGAGGACTGGCACCAATTTGAGGATGCTTCACAATGGTCCAGTCAAAAAAATAATCAAATTGATACCCTATGACAACACAACATAAAGAGAAGATTTAGTGCGCAAAACCTCAAGTGGCTGAAAGCTTTAGTAAAGATTAACTGCAAACATACAAGTAAAAAAGGATCAGAGAATATGATACTTGGAATCTACCTTCTCGAATAAATAGGTCACGGAAAAGTCGCTTCATGTATGAATAATCTGGCTTGTCCTCGAATCGCAATGATCGGCAGTAGTGGAAATAGGATATAAATTCTGATGGATATGACTTGCAAAGTGCCTGATTCACAGCATAGATGGTGCAAAAATGTCCGCATTTACTTGTTGTCATTAAGCTAATAAGTTGAATGAAGAAAATAGCTGGTTAAGCAAGTTCTTCAGCAAACAGACAGAAAGAAGATCCTGAGTTACCTCTACAGGAGTAAGCATTTTCTTTTCACTAATTTTATCATACTTCTGCTTTTTAGTGCCAGCTTTAAGCCCTTGCCAAGGAAGGCTGAAGCGAAGGAAAACAACCAGATGTAACAAGTTATGCATACATCAAAAAACAAAGATGAAAACGAATAAACCACACAGATCGATCTTAACCTTCCTCTTAAGAAATACATTAGCACATAACCAAGAGATTCTAAATCATCTCTTCGGCTTTGTTCTGCATGTAGACATGGAAATGTCAAGACAAGTATGCACAAGATGTATAAATATAAGGAAAATAACCTGTATCAATTTCTAAGGTGAGAGAAACTCACCAACCCCAAGATGTGTATTAACACTTGCATACCGTGCAGTCCCGGTCAGGTTCTTATTCTCCCTGTAAAATTATCTTAATGCATCTTACATAACCAAGAAGTACTAACACAAGGACTAAAGAAGATTTGATTTACACATGAAGACATGGAACACAGAGACTCGAGACACTCAATAATTGAACATGCATAGGGACCCATGTTAGAAACTTGTGAAGGATGACAAACACATTCGGCTGCAAAATAGGAAAGTAGCCAAGGCTAAGACTCAAGAAAACTAGTTCAGCCACCTTACTAAGCTGCTTGCAGAAAGACAGAAACTTTAAAGATGTGAACTTCCAAGGTCTACTCTGGCTTTGAAGTTTGAACACCTTGTACTATCTTGAAAATCTTGTTTATTTACAAAACAAAGTTCCATACCAAGTGCTAATTTTAATTAATCACTTGCTCTTGATTCAAATAATTTAGTAATGCCATGTTTGTGAGCTTGTCGGCAATTCGTTTTGCCTATGAAATTATTAGCTTTTCAAAAGTCAGACCGAAACAAACTCATTAAAAGTCAAAGACAATAGTTATCAAGTTTGTCTTGTCAGAGATGCTATCTTGTAACTACCAATAATTCCTATTTTCTCTTAAACAACAGGTGCAATAATAATGTCAGGAAAATATCTACAGTGAGTAAGCAGGTCGATACAAGATTTTGAATTAGCCCATTTGGTCCAAGTCATTATTACCTGTATGGTATGTGCTTATGAGTTTGAAGATCCCTATATTTCTTCGCAAGGCCATAGTCAATGATATAAACCTGAGATTAAACAACAAATGTCAAACAGATCACAAAGAGAAAGACAACACAACATTAAAACTCTGGGAATACATGGCTAAACTCACAAATCAATCAATATAATCCAATCACACTAAAACATAGCTCCTCATGCAACCTATTTATCAAAGATGTGGAAAAATATTCAACCATATAAAATTATGAACAAAAGGCAAATTTTAATCCTGTTGACAGAGTTTCTAAGAATGACAAACTAAGCTCAGGACAGATCCAAGAAGCTCTAAGCACCGGTTGGTTCTTGTAATTTACAAAGTCCTTAGAACTCATAAATTATATTGAGGGTTGAGTTCACGATGAAGACATCCATTACATCAGAATACAATACCATCTAGCTGGCTGTTGCAAGCCTAAGGGATCTCTATGGCAGATACTGAATAGATATTGAATTCTCTTCCCAGTTAACTAACACAAAGCTCAGAATCTGACAGTGAACAAAATGACAAAGAGAAAGCACTGGCCCTGATCCACATAAACAGCTGGGGACATGCTTAGCAAGAAAAGAATACTTATGACTTAAGAGAGAGATTAAATTGCCATATATTACAGAAATGATAGGTCAAGGATTGTAAGAAGGGTTGATAACAGGAAAATGTCAGCCTTGGCACATTGGCACAGGTCACTTGAACATCAAGACACGAACCTAAAGAAACAGCCTCCGTACCTAGATGGTCCTAATGCATGAGACTCGTATCTAAAGGCCGGTTTTCAAATCATACAAAGCCCATATTTCATAATTTGGTTTCTCAGTCTGTATATAAATGATTACTAAGGTCACAATAATTTCGACGACAGACATGATGGAACATATCCCTCCACCTCCCACACTACTGCCACGTTATGCAATCAAAAGATCCCCGCCAATGCCCCATGATACAGTCCAAATATCCACTGCTCAGCCTCTTTTTGTTCTTCACCTTAGTTACATCGGACTGTAATAAGTTTCAGAAACATCGGATGTAGAACGGTGAGCAAATCAAATTGGCTATATCAGATTGTCAGATGCTTTCAGAACTGAGTGGCAACCCACTAGAACTTGGAATGAGAATGACTAGATGGAATGTCTGGAACCAATAAAATAGTGGTAACATTGATCAGATGGACCCAGCAGTCAGCAAAGTCTGATTGGTTCCAGGTAGTCATTGTCGTATGGTGCCACGATCTCCACCAATGTCAAAAGTAGGGCCTAGCAAGCATTGGGGCAGAGGGTTTTCATGGCAAATGTATAGCGGAAATTATACACCCACTGAGAACTAATATAACCACATAATATAAAAGGATGTACCCAGTGCGCAAGGCTCGTGCCAATGAGAGCTTTAGGGAGGGTCAATGTACCCAGTGTTACCTTTAAATATTTAAAGATGTTGTTTCCGTGACCCGAACCCTGATCTTCCAAGTCGTAGAGGAACAATCTTACTATAGTACCAAGGCCCACCCTCATCCTTAATATAACCACATAATATACACTATCAAACATATAGTAACTAAGTGATAGTACTAAACCTTTATTATTTGATTGTTAAATAATATTTGACTTCCTCAATTTTATTTTGGCTACCTATATTTAGATTATTGTAATTATTTCAACCTATATGATGATATTTATTTGTTCACATTGTTGAGTTTATAGGATTTAAATATAAATACTATAAAATTCATGTTAATAAAATATTATATATATATATTAAAAAATACATTTGTCCTCGCCGTGTTCGTACTCCAATTTTTTTGAAAATGATGTCGTCGTGTCCATGTCCAATGTCTGTATTTGTGCTTCTTATTAATTGTATAAAAGATCCAAACACCAATTTACAAAAAAAAAATTATAAGTTTCACATGATATGAATATTTTATATAAATGAGCCAAAAATATAAAACTAAAGTTCATTCATTCTATAAAAAAAAGCCAAAATATGGTTAATGAATGAAATAATGCCAATGTAATTCATTAATGATATATAACAATGAGAAATTGAAAGAGAGAGAAAGAACACAAGGGAGAAAGAAGAGAGAGATCAAATAGAGAGAATGCTAGCGAGAGAGCACGAGAGTGAAAAAGAGAGAGGGGGAGAGAGATAATAGGAAGCAGTGCAGGTTGTCAGAAATACTTCGAGCAGTGGGTATGTGAACATTGGTCATTGATTCAAATATTAAGCAGAAATAGTTTAAAGTTCTTTTTATTTAGACATTGGTCATTGATTGAATGTCTAATGATGTTTTTTTAACTTGATTTAAGTTTCTCTAGTCCTATTTATATGGGTTAAGAATCAAAACTAGCTTTCTCTTGAGCTGAATTGAGTTTTTCCTTAACCACTTTATAAGAAAATTGACTCAAGGGTCATTGGGCTTGAAACAACTACTAGGGCCCATAGCAAAGCAGCAAATAGCCTAAGATAAAGCCACTGTAGACCTAAAGTGCTTTATGGAGACGCTGCATATAAAGCATCGCACCAAACATTTATAAACCACCACAGCATCAGATAAGACTGCCAGTTAGACTAAATATCTCCAGTATATAAAACTAATTTCTATCCACTGATAGATGCAATAAAATAAAAATCTGCCATCCAACCTGTTGGTGGATGCTCTTTCTTAGTGGATACAAGGTCCCTGATGTTCTTAGTGGATCACTAGAACAAAGTGAGAACAAAGGGATCGAGGTGTGACCATGAAATTCCATGGAGGTGCAATGAAACAACCTGAGGAAAGAATGATAGCTGAGATGGTTAAAAGGTACCATCCTCTATGTGATTTTACAAATGAGCAGCTATGTTCACCAACAGATCCATCATGTGTTTGTGTCTTCAGCCATACTAGTTCTCACTTCCTTACTAAAAGGCGTACGATGTATCAATGCGGTGCAAGCCTCCCCATTCTTCCAAAACAGCCAACCAAAGACAAGGAAGAAGTCTCAATTGAAACAGTCGGTTTGCAGGTACTTATGACACAAATTAATGGAATCAACACTTATACAACAACAACAACAACAAAACTATAAGTCCCAACTATTTGAGGTTGACTACATGAATCTTTTATCGCCATTGAGATATGCAAAAAGTAATATGTTTAGTTAAGTTTAGAGTATTTAATGGAATCAACACTTAAAATAAAGATAATTTAAATAGGATCAATTATATATCATTTAAATAGGATCAATTGTATATCCTACACAAGTATTTGTAAGACGGATATCTAAAACTAAACATGCACCCAACATGAGATTGTGTGGACTACAGAATCGAGGATATTAATAAAATAAGTGGGATCTAGAGTAAATTATTCCAAATTAGTTTAGATTTAAAGTCCATGGCATCAGGAATTTAAACAAGGAGATGGAAGGGCATTGTTTAGGTCAGAAGGTTATGTTGAATGCTCACAATCACTCAGAAGAAAACAAATTCAACACTTTGTTTTATGTTAGCACTCCTATTTTCTAGACAACTTGCAATAGCTCTTGGATGTGCAAAGTAAAATTCCCACCCATCACGCAAATAATATTTGGTTGCATACATTTAAATCTAGATTATGTCTATGATGGAAACCATAAGCTCCATGAAGCTACTTAAGACCATAGAAAGAAAAAAAAACACTAATTCTTTGTGTGTACTTCCATAGGAAGTCCAAAATTTAGAACCAAAATTTACCTTTGTGACAAAATTCAGATAAAACAATATAGAAACACACACGAAAGACACGTTTGAAGACCTTATTTATGTCTATGATGGAAACCATAGGCTTCACAAAGCAACCTAAGACCATCAAAGGAAAAAAGTACTAATTCCAATGTGTATAACTACACAGGAAGTCCAAAAATTAAAATCAGAAATTGGTTAAAAAAATTCAGATAAAACTCAACAAAAGCACCACACGAACACACATACGACAAAAAAGAAAAATATTAGAAAATCTGGTTTAGACAAACCATAGGTTCCACAAAGCAACCTACGACCATGAAAGAAAAGAAACTACTAATTCCTCTGTGTATAACTACCGTAGGAAGTCCAAAACTTAAGATCAAAACTTACCTTGCGACAAAATTCAGATGAAACTTTCATAGAAACCAGTTTCACACACACACATTAGAAGATCTATGATTCTGGTAAAAAGCAGAAATTATTACCTTACACTAGTATTATCAAAATCAATTAATTTCGAGCGAGTTGATAAGAAATACTTACATTGTATTCTTGGTTGGAAGAATCATAGATATGAAAAATTAAGTGAACAATTACATGCTCTTTAAGATGATAGTGAAAAGTGCAATTCTGGGAAGTAATTTGAGGTCATTTTTCCTAGTACTCATAACATAGGTAATATGAAGATGGATTGCCAAGTAATTTTGATGTTCCAAATATTTGTATGCACTAGTTTGAGCACAGTGAATAACCGCTAGAATGTATCCTCAGATACATCTGAAGGGCTTTTGGGAAATGAAATTTCCGATAATATGATAACACACCTGATTTGCTTTACGACCAAGGCCCATAAGAAAGTTATCTGGCTTTATATCACGGTGAAGAAACCCCTTTGAGTGCATATACTCAACTCGGTTAATCTTCAAAGAAAGAAACACAAATATTATGGTGATGTTTAAAGAGAGTTTCATTTCTAAACTCTGAAAAACAAAAAGACAACTAAATTAAAAGCTAGAGTCGAAGGGGAGAAAACGGTTCTCATACTAATTGATCAGCAAGCATTAGGACTGTTTTCAGTGAAAACCTCCGGTTACAGTAGTTGAACAAGTCTTCTAGGCTAGGTCCGAGAAGATCAATGACCATGACATTGTATTCTCCTTCCACACCAAACCACTTAAGATGGGGGATTCCAGCTTCATTAAAACAACAAACAAAAATCATCATTAGCATTGACTGAGCAAATAAAATGAATCATACTAATCGATTGACAACTTACTTCCTCCTTGGAGATGCATATACAACTTCGACTCATAATGAAGTTGAGGATGCTTCGCCTTCACTGATTCCTGCCAGCATTAAAGCATAGGTAGTAAATACCAAGATCCCATGGGTTATCCAATAGAATAACAGAAGTAGATTGCTCCATGATGAAAACATCAGACTTAATTAGTAAAATGAGTTGAAGTAAACTAGAAATCTTGCAATATATCTCCAAAGAGAAGTCCAGATTGGAGCTTTCAAGTAGAGAACTTACTAAAAGATAGACCTAACATCACATTATACACACCTAGGAACAATTTTCTTTAATGGGTGAATGAGCAATTGGATTTTCAGCATTAGGACCACTTGTGTAAAAGGCAAAATCAATGTAATAAAGATCAGAGTTTATATTAATAATTCAAATATGAATACCATGAATAGAGTTTTTTGACTGATCATGTATACATTGTTGCAAGGTGTTGTACCGTACTCCTGGTACAATAGAACATGCACTATGTTTGTGCTACATGTTTTTTCTTTTTTCAGCCATTAAACTTGCACTGTAATCTTAGGGCAACATTAATAACTAAAAACAATTGTAACATCTCACATAATCAACTAGTGGTTTTATTGTTTCAAATTCAAGTTAGAAAATACTTCATTTACATTTTAAAACAAGTTATATATATGAACATAGTAACAGTGCATACGAGCTTTACTGCTACTTCCTCTCCGCTTTGTACGTTAATACCTGAATCAAATCAACAACGAAGACAAAGTAAGACAAAAAAAAGAATAATAACTGGAGCACGAGCCAAGACATAACATAAACTAAAAAAATGATGCACAAATATCCGAGAATATAACACACCCAAATAGAGCTCGCCAAAAGAACCACTTCCAATCTTTTTGCCAAGCTTAAATTTTCCACCTATCACACGCTCCATCATTCAAGATCCAATACAAATACCCCACACTAATCAACTCAACGCAAAATCCTCAGATCTCCAAGGTTGTACCAAAGAATACTCCTTTAAATCACCAGCAATCCACCCTACGACTCTCCGCCACCGACCAAACACGATCAGAACAATCGAAGCCACCAATTCGTACAGAAAAAAAACCCTAAAAATCGTTATTCTTGGGCATCAAGACCTACATTACAAGGAAACCGACTCCTAGACCTCCAACCAGCACGCACACGCATCATCGGGACTCCGAATCCTCCTCTGATAAGAGGATCCAACAAAAGGAGCACCACTCACTACCGAATACCGAATCAATAAACTTTCATCCGCCCACAACTCTGATCGCGAAGAAACCCAAGCACCAGCCTTCGACCGCCGAATAGAAACCCTAGAAGATCTCCACCGACACGAGAGATCCAAGCGCCGCTTTTCGAAACAACCCGTCGAGTGGATCGAACAGAGAAATCGGATCAAAGATACGGAGACCAAAAAACATCTCCCCCGGATGCTCACAACATCTGTCGCGACGAAGGAAGAGAGGAGAGACGGTGCCGACGATAATGTGATCTCGACAAAGCTGGCGACAGATTAGTTATCCCTTGTTATTTCTCTGTTATCAAACCTTTTCTTGTTGTTACTTGGGGAATTAAGTACATACGAATTGGGTGACTTCCAAGTATGGGTTCCAAAGAGAGCTGCTTCTCGCTAATTCTTCGTTTTATGCGACAAGTTTGGTAGAAAATTATATGCGGTAGCTTTAGTTCTCTGCCATCGATAATATCTTAGTTTGATCAAGCGGCCAATATTACTTCGCATATATGTTTTATGAGGACCTTTGTTTTGTACTTTGATCCGACTTGCCATCAGTCGATGTAATGGACTGCTTTAGTGTGATGACCACCTGTTGACGGGGATCGTAGGGCAGCAGTTATCCCGTGCGTTAGCAGAGATACCCGGGATGCTACCTGCCCTGTGGTTGGACACTCTATTGGGGGCTCCATGTAACATTGCTATCTCCAATATGGGGGCTATGCGGGTAGAAAAGACTCGTGGGAGATTCGGTCAACGACGATGACACATCAGAGACTAATAACTTATTTTATCTAAAAACAAAGAAAAGGGATATCAGTAACTTATTATGGCTCCTAAAATACTATACAAAAAAATATATAACATGCATATTGCTTTTCCATATATGATGATTTTATTAAAATCTACAAGAAGATTGATAATCAAAATTGATGGAGATTTAAATTTACAAAATATTAATATCTCAAAAACTTGTGATAATATTAATAATTAAGTGTTGATGGAGATTTAAAGTAATTGAACACCATTGTAGACCCAGTGAAATATAACACTATAACTTTATTCAAAAATATTATAAGGATATTTTTGAATTAAAAATATTATATATTATCTAGGGTATTTAAAAAATATATTCTTATTTTAGGTATTTCTCAAAAAGTTATCCCATTTTAATTTTTTTTAAACCATATCCATCAATCTAAAAAAATATCAAAATTATCCTTTTCTATCGCTACCCACCTTCATTGCCACCCACTTGCTATCGTCACCCATTGTCCACCAATCACTCGCTATCCATGAGGAGAGGGGGCACGAGAGCTACTATTGGTTTTTAACTTCGCCATCGTCCTCCACTCTATTAGACCCGTTGCTCGCAACCATTACATAGGGAAGGAGGGGCCCCGCATAAGGATTATCATCAGCCTCGCCCCTTTTAGGAGACAGTGTCGTCTACCAAGCAAAAGGGGTAGGGCCAATGATGGCCCTCACACCCTCTCCTTTTCTCGTGCAATGGTTATGGGCAACAAATTTAATAGGATAGAGAGTGACAACAAAATAGAGGACAAGTGGACGATAGGCGACAAGGGGCAACGACAATGAGTGAACAACGAGTGACGAGATGCAACAACGGAGGTGGGCAACAGTGGAGAAGGATAGTTTTAGAATTTTCTAGATTAAAAGGATGATTTGGGAAAAACTAAATTGGGATAACTGTTTAAAAAATATTCAAAATAAAAATATTTTCTAGAAAAGTCGCCCTATTATCTATGGAAAAATTTGAAACACATGAGATAAGAGAAAAACCCAAAACGTAACATGTTTTTCGTCCTTACCATTTGAATGTTAAATCTCAAATTGATATGGTTATATATATATTTAATATTCTTGTGCACAGACAGTGTGCCGGCAATTTCCTGCACCCCAGCTTCCCCCCCTCTTTTAAACCGCGGGGCATAATTATATCGGGTAAGGATGTCTCGAAACTTGAATCCGAAAAGAGGGATCCAATGTCAGTTCAATTCGGATAATTATAGAGAATCCAAATACAAAATAGGATTGCTGTCGATTTTTATGCATGTACAAGTAACTATCATGTAGATTCGGATACTCTCGAGGCCTGTTAACATCCAATTACATGGCTATTCCCTACTTCATAACGTGTTACTCTAACAATCTAACCTTTTTTTGTGGCTTGCCTTGGCCATTCTTCTTCTTCTTCTTCTTCTTCTTCTTAAAGATATAACAACAAGTGTATGCGATGCTTACTCCATGGAGCACATTCCTTCTCCATTGCGGTCAACAGATAAATTTGCTGAGACGATATAGCATTGACCACATAGAAGAAGAACTTGTACGACTCCTCAACTTGCAGAACTAACTCTACAAGTAGTTCCATGGGGTTTTATTCCTAGGACATCACCATACACAACTGCACACAACCTTGCAAACATAGCTACATCTAACCGCTCTTCTCATTATTGGGATGGAAAATCTATTTAACAGTTGTGCCAAATGATAGATCACGAATATAGTTTCTTTATTTTTCAGAAAGAAAAAAAAAAAAAAAAAAAAACTGTGGACTAGCTGTTACATGGAATACTGCATATAGTGAGAAGGGCTACTAACTCATAATATTGCAACAACAGTGATTAAAGTTTCACAAGGCACAGAAAGTAAAATAAAGCATGTGAACAAAGCCTCCCATCAAACAAAAATCAAATCTGAATGGTTTTTCTGTTTGTATCAACAAATACAAAGACAATCGGAAAAACTAACCAATTTGTACCACACAGGTGGGCATTAGGCAGTCCCGACAACATGGACATGAAATGGGGATCCACGACAAAATATTGGCTCATCAGATGAGTCCGATTTTGCACGAGCCCTCAGGACATCGGTTGCGTCATTTATGACGGCAGCTGCAAGAAGTGTGTAATCCCCTGGCACAAGAAAGTACAGGGCAAAGGAATGTGTTATATCTTGGAGTGGAGGAGCCTCCAGACTGATATCACTGAGGGTACCTGAGGAAAGAGAAAACTAAGAATGAGTCAACAAAATATTGTATAATTGTGAGGTAACACCATTCTATTTGGTCCATGTCTGATATAGAAACTTTAATTGCCATATATCTGATTCTGATAAGAGGGATAAATGAGCAACATCAGCTCTTTGTGTGTGCGTGATTCCAAGGAATATCGACTTTGGTTAATAACAGAACTTTTTATCTGACTTGAATGTAAGGCTAGGAAACAGTCACCGTGTTCCAGTAACTAAAATGTCTGGAAGCCTTACCAAATCACATGTATAACAAAACGGACAAAAAAAGAAATAACAAGGGAAATATTGCTTTATTTTTCTGCTTCACAATAAGAAATGAACCAGCATGTCATGTTCTATGAAAGAGGCACTATCTAACATGAACATACTAAATGGGGTCAACAAAAAAGGTTGTGTCAGGAACACCCAGTCCCAAAGTCGTCATTTTAATCGTAAAAAGATGAAAAACCACAAGACATGTGGGAAAAATTAGGTCCTACGAAATGTGCATGTATGGAAGTTTATCTTGCCTTATCATTTTGTTTATAGACTGTCAGTTCATTTAGTCAACCAAAATAAGAAAATGTTGATATAAAACAAATTACTGCTATCGATCAAGAGATATTGAATCATACCAGCCCATAGAACAGTTGCTTTATTTCCTTCAATGCAATTCTCTCCTGCTACATCTCTGCATGAAACATTAAGGCTCATTTTAATCCTTTCCTTTGTGTTATTCCGAATGATGACCTCCATACGAGTCATCTCGTGAGCCAAGACAGAACCTTTAGCTCTTGCAACATTCCTACTACCAGGCTGGCCAGGGGGATTGTCTGATATACTGGACTCTTCAGGAGAAACAATATTTTCTGATGCAGTTCCATTTTCACCCAACCTGAAACCAAAGGTTAAAGGGTCCGGCAGTAATATATCCATGATCGATGCTTGCAATGCTGCTTGAGTGGCATCTTTGATGTTCAACTCTCCTGAGCTATTTCGTCCTGAATGCCATCTCACTTTTATTTTGGATATTAAATTGTTGATGGAAGCATTCAGCTCAGCCTTTGCATTCCTTTCTGCTGTGCTAGAAAATTTATTTCCTAGAAGATTATTGACTTGAGCATCTTTTGAAAAGAAGGAAGCATCAAGAACAGGTAGTTTGAAATGCTCCATGGGTATTAACACTCTTGCAGAATAGTCACGATCAATTCTGGTTTTACGGTACCCAAAGTCAATGTCTTCATTACTGAAATTTGCCACGCCATGCTCACTCTGTTGACTATCCAACTGCATTGAGACATTGACCTCAAAGACTACATCTGTGGGATTAGACAGTTCTAGTTCAAGAAGTCGCAAACCCCAACTTCCTCTATATGGATCAATCTTAACCAAACTGTCATTTTGGTTCACTGATTTTAGTTCTTCAGTTATACCATTCTCACCATAAATTTGCTTAGGAAGTGCCTCGCTCACACGTGCAGGAAATTCCATTGAGAGCAAGCGTGCCCTTACAAAGCGCAAGCCCTGAAGAACACACACATTTAATGGGACAACCAAGCGCCTTCCTGGTGGCACAGAATTGCCACTGCCATTTGATTCATCAGGACTTGTCCATGGACCTAAAAGAACAAAGAGGAAAAGGTTAGCCCACTTCAGACCAATTGAATAATAATAGAATCAATGAAAAAGTATGCCAATATTTGATCTTGCTAAAGTACTTGTTATGTCGAAGATAGTAACAACATGGACAAATTCACATCCAGTCCTGTAGAAACATGCAATGCCATGACTCTAGCGGTTTTCCTTTCCACTCTAACAACTCTAAATCTAAATTGGTTAGTCATGTCGTACTGATGCATTTAAATTTACTCTTTAAACATGTCTGAACCACTTGTACAGATTTCTCAGATATAACACACAACTTCCAACAGATAAAACACATACCTACTGCACAGTGCTCATACCACCATGGATAGGGGGAGGGTCAATGTATACAACCTTTCCTCTAAATAACATGGCTGTTTTCGTAATTCAAACCCTGGTCTCCCAGGTAGCAAAGGAACAATCTTTGCTCTGCTTGGTGGTATTCTTAAAATGTTATGGTGATGCCATGATCTCCAGGTTCACCTAATCCTGATAAATTTCACTGAATCAGGTTAGAATGTGACAGATTTATCCCTTTCACTCATTTTCTAAAGGATCAAACAAATTCTACATGAGTCAGAAAACCCTAAGGTTTGGAAGGGATCCGTCAGCCTTAGGCTGACTAAAGATATAATTGATTTGAG